TGTCATTCATCTTTCGATTTGAATAATAATGATTTTCATAAAAAAATAAGCTGGTAAGCTAATTTTAGTAGCATTTGGAGTTAAAAATATTAATTTGTTATTTAGCAATTTTTTTTCTTTCATATTTTGTATAAGTAATAAAATAATTATGAGTATTATTTTGTATTTATATGTATATCATTTATAATTGTGATATATAAAAAAATTGGATTCGTTGGAGTGTTAGGAAACTCGTTGACTCGAATAAGCTGGAATTGCTTTTGCTCAATTAGTCGATTTGTTAATTTGTAAATGAATCATTAGAAATGTGTTTGGGCAATTACGAGTATTTAAAAATAAAAAAAAAAATAATTACAAAAATATTTAGAAGATATTTTATGGTTAATGCTTGATAAGTGGACATTATTAAAAATTTTATATGGCTAATTAAATTATTTTTGGATATGGAGTGGTAAAGAAATTTGAAATACAATGACTAACTACATGAGTACATATATACAATAGTATATATTGTAATTGTAATTGTCTCAAACAAATGTTTTAGTTAGAAAGGGAATAATAATTATTATGGGATTCCCTAAATACATTCAATGTTATACACACATAGTATGCCTAATATGATATGATTAATATTGATTTTTTTTTTTAAATTTAATATATTTATAAATTAAATTTGATATGAATTATAAGTCTGTAGAGAGAACTTTTTTACACAGAAATTGCCAACATAATATTCCTTAATTAGCTAAGATAAATTTATAATTGGTTTTTTATTATATTTATGAATATATTTAATAAAAATTTTAAAAAAAAGGTTGAAAATAAATTTATTTTAATTCAAATAGCAAATGGACATTTTGAAATATACAAAATTATAATAAATATATAACATTTTTGTTTCATTAAAAAAATAAAATGTGTTTTCCCACCTGGTATAAACTTTCAGATTCATACTTGTTGGATTGTTTTTCAAAATGATTGGACTTGAAAATGATTTTTCAGTTTGTTCCACAAGCCAATATACTTGACTATATCTACCTTATACTTTCGATATATCATCACTTACAAATACGATTACAGCTAAATTTCCAGATGACACTGCAATTCTTATTTCTCCAAATACGGATGTAGAATCGATTCCACATTTCCGAAGTGCTACTATATAAATACTAAATTAGATATTGAAATGGAGAATAGCATTTAATAACACGAAATCGGCACTAAAAGAATCTCATGTTTATCAATTTTAGAAACCAAATACTACAAAGTATCTTGGAATGACCCGATGCATTAAATACCGTGAAGATAAAAATTTCAAAATGTTACATCTTGAATGATTTAAAGGTAGATTTTAATTTGTACATAATAAATTAAGAATATGTATTCATATATTGAAACCCATCCAGATAAATAGTGGGATTTCACGACAAGTTGATATGATTGACTGATAGAGAAATAAGTCTATATAAAGACGATAACCACAAGTTGTGAGTATTATTTTGTATTCTACCAAGAAATCTAACTCAGAAGTCATAGAGTATTTTCAACAAAAAATTCACCATTCTAAAGTACACACTACCTGATACATAAGAAACAGCGAAACCATGACATGTACCTATGTGCCAGCTGCCTTCAATGTAATAAGAAAATTGACCGTATATCATCAGAAAGATTTCACCAATCCAAGATTATGGAAATAAATCACATCTTTGATAAAAAAGACTTAAGAACAGGATTACAACTTAGCAAATTTTTTAAACTGGTGCCGAAAATTAAGTAATTCACCAGAATATGTTGAGTTTTTACGACACATTATATATGTAACATACCATATATCAATATGCTTTTCCAATAAGATAAAAGAAATTGTGGTATTATTAATAGTGAATTTTTAAATTTTAAATTTATTAAAAAACAAATTTTACAATAGCTTCATATGATCGATTTAGAGGGATCACTCAGTTACGAACACTATTAGTTACTACGAGGTTATTTCACTACGAATGGCTACGATATAAAGATAGGTTCTTATCGTTCAAACAGGAAGAAATTTCGGCGAATCAATCAGTCATATTTGGAGACTATTTGACAATTCGAATTGTTTTTAGTCGAAAACTCACGAATCTCTGATTTTATCGGTTGTTAAAACACTTTTCCCCAAGTAAAATTATGTGGTTCAAGTATAAAGAAATATGCTTGATTTATAACCAAATAAGTCGAATTTATTGATTGCTCTATGGTATTGCTAATGTTCTTGATTAAGATCTCATAGATAAGGATGACAGTGTGCGAATGTATGTTATCGTGGTGTAAAATCCATTAGTTGTTTCCACATTAGTCCACATTAGTTTTCTGGGCGAACTACTTTATGCAAATGTTTGATAATCTGATTTATTTGTATGATTTTCTAGTAAGAGTTTATACTGCAGAGCACCATTACAATCCATTAAAATTGTGAAAGTACAACCTGTTGGTAATTCTTTTTGATTGAGGTTAATATTAAAAATTAAAATAACTTTACACTAAGATGAGGGAGTCACTTCTGTTGTATTTTTACTACACTGGAAATCTGCTACTCCTTTCTGTTGTGCTTGTTTAATATATATTATGTTTAATATTCAGATGTCAATATCGACTTACTGGTAGGTAGATGAGTTATATTAGCGATCCCAAGGGATCCACTTAGGCCTATAGACTCATTATGTTACCGTATAATTAAAAACTCAAGGGTTAGAAGCTCTTAAAACCTTTGGTAAAGCTTATAATACTATTAAGGGGGAGGTCGTATAGTACGCCAAGATTCTCAAAAAAAAGACACTAAAGTGATAAGGCCGCATCGATTTACTGGTACTCGAGCTATTTTAATATTTTTGAAAAAAATTTTGTATACGACAATCGTAAAAGTGCATTCTGACAGTCATTCCTGAAACTTTTTGATCAAGTTCGAATATTCAAATTAATAACTTTGACATTATTATTATTTATTTATATATATTTATTATACAGAGATTTTTTAATACTCTGTATATTGGTTTATATTGAAAATAGAAATCTCCATTCCCATTTTAGATGGTTGAGTGACTCCTTATGCTTCATTGAAAACCTTCTACTCATCACTATAATTTTCCTTGTATATTTTTAGTACATATTAGGTTAGGTTAGGTTAGGTTACTAGGGCCGTCCGAAGACTCACTTAGACCATGAGGTCCATTGTGATACCCTAAAGAATTTGACACCTGTCCCTATAACCACTTGGTATTGGCTACAAAGCCATTGACACGAGCTATGGAACATATTAACATTCATTAAATATTTCAATTTAAATATGGTTTCAGAGGTACGCGAATATTTTATTTTGTTGCATTAAGAATATTATTATTATATATTCTTAGTGTTAAATTTATAAATTAGTTTTTTTAAAGAAGTTGTTAAGAAGGATACTAAATATTCTTCTCGGGTTATCAGTTGGGATATATAGGCATATGAGCATAATTTCTGTTTAGAATACAAACGAGGGTTTAAATTATTATGATTGTATTTAATAATATTCATATTTTTGCAACCTCATTTTTTATGAAATGAATCTAAGACATTATGATTGATTCAGTTCAAGTATATGAACTAATGCGTTTTTTTTTGTTTATGCGTTAATTATTAAAACGCAGCATGATACATTAATTTATGGACAATCAATTTTTAATTTAATTAAATTTATGAAAAACAACTATCGAGTTATGTGCAGTACAAAAATGTAGAACAACAACAAAATAATTAAAAATATTAAATTAGTGTAAGATATTACCAATTCTGCACTGGACCGATTTTCAAAGATAAATTTGATAAATGCAAGAAAATAAAACTATAAAATGTGATTTAATTAAGAAGGCGCAAAGTGCTTGTTCGGATTTAATTAACAGTAATTAGATAATAATTTATTATAACTCTGCGTCTTTTGCTGATTGTCGATTAAGAAATCGCTGATATACCAGTATAATCTTGCAGCAATGCCTGTACTAGAGGTTGACAAAAATATTTCTTACTTTTCAAATTTTATGCTTTAATACTTCTTAATGCAAAATGATCATTAAAAATGTTGTTTGTTTATGAGCTGGAAGAGAATGTGCATTTCAATTTGCAGTACATATGCCCAAGTGCTCATAATGAATTCGTTTGGTTGGTGCATGCGAGTAATTGCATTGAGTTTGATGGTAATTGTAATGAGAAAAATTTGCATTTCAATTACTATTTTAATTATGCCATTAGAGAAATTTGGTAGAGCATACTATAATATTAACTAAATAATTATAATTCATAATTGCATATGTATTCAAGTTTAGTGTGCAATTATTTAATTAAATTTATCGCTAAAGACATTGAACGCAGCACTTTTGAGATGTTAATAATGTATGAATTAAAAAGTGTTTAAATAATTTCTGTATACATAACAGATAAAAATCTTTAATGAATAATAATAATTGAGCCAAAATCGGAAGACTTGCAACTACCAAAAGAGGATGAAAAGTTGAAGAAGTTGAAGAAGTTGAGGAAAATATGAAAAGAGCATCCCGATAATTAGTGGAATCATTGGACATCATTAGCAGTTGCATGCAGCCACAAGCCACACTCAACCCGTTCGATATTTTAGTAGGTGTTTATCTATAGACATGTCAATACACATCCGTATCAGTTCCTATGTGAATCAGTCTAACCGCTGTTAGAGACGTACGCATCAGTTACCGATATCAATAAGTAATACTAAATAAAACCTGAATATGGTCTGTAATTAGTTAAATCGTCAATGAAAGTGGTAACAAGAAGTCAAAACAGCCAAAACCATTACAAAAACACCAGCTACAAAAAATATAAATCGAAGCTGACAACGAGATTAGCAAAAACTCAAAATAAAAAAAAAAAACTGATTAACTGCGGCTCGGCTACTTCACACACAAAACCAATTCAAAATTTCTGTTTAAGCCAAGTTTATAAAAATCGCATTGAGCGAGGTTTTGGTCAACAGTCGCGCTTTAGCGTCGTAAACGTTAATAAGTATTTAGATTGGCACCAACAAAGCGTTAAGAAGTGCTTCAAATTATTTGTGCAAATTTGTTTATTTTTTACAGTGTTTTTTCGGGAAAACATCAAAAATTATATATCCTTTTTCTGTCTCTAATAAAACAGAAAGGATTTTTTATAATAAAGTTTGAAAGTGACAAATATTTAAGGACTTAAAATGAAACTTTTTATTACGTATGTTTTGGGCTTTTTAGCCCTCGTGTCTTTGGCCAATGCCACTTACAAACTACAAGAACGTTATAGCTGGACTCAATTGGATTTCGCATTTCCTAGTCAGCAGCTAAAGGAACAGGCTTTAGCTAGCGGTGACTATGTGCCCACAAATGCACTTCCTGTTGGAGTAGAACACTATGGAAATCGTTTGTTCGTTACGGTTCCACGTTGGAAAGATGGTAAGCATTCAATTATTAATGATTTAATAAAAAAATAATATTTTTTTATAATATTAAAAATTATTAAAATATTCATTTTTTTTTCTTGCAATGTTTATATGAATATAATTAATATTAGTGAATAAAAAAATAACTATTTTATTTAAGATAATTGCATTTTTTTAATTGTAGTGAAAGTTTTTTTTATAATTTAAAAACATTTTTTTTAAAATTAATCTTAATTAATCTTAATGTGTAAAGAATAAAATAATTGATATGCGTTTAAAGTATTGGAAAATAATTAATAATATTAACTGATGCAAACATTTTTTATAAACTTTTATTAATAAAATAATTTTAATATAATAAAATAAAATAATAGATTTTAATAATAATAACGAAAATGAATAATTAGTAATATTAATTGATGCAACAATTTTTTAAAACTTTTTAATAATAAAATAATTTTAATTTGAAAATAAAATATTATTGCTTAATAATAATAATGAAAAATTGTGATAATTAGTATTTTATAAAAATTGAACCATCAAAAATAAAGATTTTAATATTTTTTATTAATAAATTATATATATAATTTATTTTTATATAGATAAATTTATATCTGCGTAAAATAATAAATAAAATAAATATATAAAAATAATAAAACAAGAGATTTCTTTATAACAGTAGAATTTGTATAAATAAGTTAATAATAATAAATGAATGGCTTATTTTGGGTTTAAAAAATATGTTTCCCATATATTCCCATATATATATTAGAAGCAAGAGTGTCTGAAATTCTTGTAGTATTATAGGCATTAGCACAAATATCCTTACAATTCTTATGAACTGTGTTCTATCTGCACAGAAAGTTAAGTCTATAATGAGTGACTATTTTTATTTACAACATTAAAAAAGTCATTTTTTTTTATAATTATTTATTTAAATAGAATATATATAATTAACTATTAAAACATATAAATAGGGTTTCTGAAAAAATAATTTTGTAGTACTTAGTGAGTACGACGCCCGAATTTGAAAAATTCATCAAGTCGAGCCCGAGCAAAGTTTGATTTTGAATTTACATTTAAATTTGACAGGGATTCAGTAACAATTCTAATATCAATAACCTCTTATATTAGCAAGGATTTGTCGATATATATTGAGTGGTAAAAACAATGTTACCTATAAAAGGACATTATTTCATAAGAAAAAGTAATTCTCTTTAGAAAACTATTGTTGAAAAAACGTGTACAACAAATTTATTTACTATTTTATTAATTATATATAACATATTTTTCCAAAAAAATTTATTTACTGTGTAACGATAGAGCTTTCCAATAAATTTTTTCCATATCTTGACAGTTTAAAATCTAAAGGATTACATTTATTTGACTATAGTATCTTCCGTTTTAATTTTTCATTGTTTGAGTCAAAATGTTGATAAAGATATATTAATATAATTACATACTATATATCCTAATTAACAATCGCAATGAAACTATGTGCCCTTCACTATTTTTCCAATACGGATCTCCGGTTAAATATGTGGAACATTCATCACACATTCACTTTCAATAGATAGTTCTAATATTAACTCTGTTAAGAAATATAATTGAATTGTAGTGTGTATTTATTATGTGGACAAATTAAAAGAATGAATTCGTTATAAATTTTTTATAATTTTTTTTAAAAAAATTTTTATAAAACTGTCCTTTATAGTCTATACACTACTGCGTATATAGATTATATGAATATCTTAATATATTTACAATGCTATGAAATGATCTTGATCTTGAATGAGTTTTGTTTTATTGATCATATATCCGAAAGTATCACAAAAATGTTTTTTAAAGTCATCGATTTTAAATAGAAAAACAATTGTTATTTATTATTACATTTTATGAAATAAAAGAAATTTTGTATTAAATTAAAATATAATAATTTAATTTAGTTTAAAAAATAAAATAAAATAAAATAAAATTTTATGAAATTATTTATAGTTTTTACAGTTAAGCAAATTATATTTATTTAATTTTCACTGTAAATTCTTAATCACAAAACAAATTTATTAATCACATATCAACAAATCTTTTTGAATTTTTATATACAATCATTATATAAATTATATTTATTAAGTTTTAAATTTAAACTACTAATAATAAAACAGATTTAATAATCAAAGTTAAAAAACATCTTAGGGAAAAATATGATTATCCAGTACTTGTTTAGATTTAATTCATAACAAAACCTTATAAAAATAAAACCTTAACCTTATAAAAAATAAATAGTATTAAATTATTTATAATAATATAAATAATATTTATAAAACTTTTATAAGAAATTTTTGTTTATTTAGTATTGAAAATAAATTTTTAATAATTAAAAAATTATTCAAGAAACATGTTGACGTTTTCATATGTATTAATATTCTTCTTTTTTTTATATATATTATTAGCAAGTATAGTATATAAATGAGTACAAAGTATAACAAATTAATAAAAGTTAAATTAATATCTTTAAATATATGGTATATAAATAAATTAATTCACTCTTAGTGGAAAGTAAAACTACTTTTATTTACCTTTCAAGTCATCTGTTAATATTGTTTTTATCAGTTTATGGCATAATAGTTTTTTATAATTAAAAACCAATTAAAGTTTTCACAATCCTTTATAGGAGATAAGTTGATCTGCAGATAAAAATGTGCAGAGCAACATTTTTTTACAAATTACCATTAGTAAGTGCTTCCCGACGCAGTCTAGTTTCTATAGTAACGCTTTAAAGGCGGACAAAAATCAAACGACTTGCACCTGACTCTCCTTAAACTGATTAATTATGCGAATTAATATCGGATAAATATTTTTATTTGGATCACAAAATTATTTTGAGATTTGATATGATTTATGAGGAAGACTTTTGACTTTATTTCTTTAAAACTTACTACTTCGCTATTTTCGATTGAATATTCAATGAATTTTAAAGATAATTTATTAATTTGTGTAACGCGTCGTCAGCTATCTGAGTTAATATGGTTCAAATTTGTAATAATTTAAATCCAGATATTAGCAGTCGAAACATTTTATATATACAGTTTCATTTTATTTATTTATTAAAACAATAGATCTTCCTAAAAACCAGTGATGTTGTATATTTGACAGCTATATGGTGAGCCTAAGAATTGATTTGATTAAAATTCAATATTTTGATTTAAAATTTGGTTCATTAATTTATGAACTTCCTTTTCTTATGTTGAGGTTTTTCCGAGTTAGTGCAACTAGCATATTTACTCTTTGTTAGCTGGAGGGTTTCTACAGAGTCCCTCCCTTCTCTTTGACTAATTTATGTATTCCTCACAAGCTTCACTGATTATTCGATAAATGATCTAAGATCTGCATACCGCTAGTGACTGCTCTGAGATTGAATAGTGCTATGTAGAGCAGTCTGTCAGTTTTCTATTCTGTGGTCTCTTAGCATGTCATTCGTGTGGATGGTCCATGGCACTTTGAAGAGGTTTTGGAGAGCCTGACTTTATAGTTTCTGGATAGCAGAGTTGGCAACCGTAGAGAAGTGTCGTTCTGATTATCTGGCTGTTGATTAACTTTCTGTTCTTAACAGAAATTTAATTTTCTAATATATTATTTAAAATCTTCAAATTAAAAAGTTTTAATTGGTTTATAAATATAAATAAACGTAACAGTTGAAAAGAGATATGACAAGAACTAAAAGTAGTTAAATATGTATAATCAACAAAAAACTAGTACAAAGGAAATGTAAATGTATCTATTTTAAAAATTTTTGGTAACACTGGTTATATTTGTACAATATATTTTATTTACATAAACTTCTTTCTAAAATCATGATTTTATATTAAAAATTAGCTTGGTTAATTCTTCTTATCTCTAACAATTAATGAGGTGATTAAAAGAACATTATCCATATAATTTGAATATATATTTAAATAAATTTAATTTAATTTATGTTAAAATTCTGTGTTTAACTTCCCATTTATCAAGAGATAATAATAAATATTTCAGAGTTAATTACTTTTTACCATTTCGTTCTAAAACGTCAATAAAAACCGCAGATAAAAAGAAATGAGGAATTCCCTATTATTATTATATCTAATAAATCTTCTAATAATAAAAAATAAAAGTAACACAAACAAAATAATTATTTTAATTATTAAAATGAAAGCTATAATAAATTTAAAAAAAATTCTTCTTCTTACAAAATCACACTTTTTTTTTGAAATATCCCCAAGATTTTTAAATTTATTGAGACCTTCTTTAATTTTATGTATTTTACTCGTATATTTTGGAATTGCCAAAATATACAAGATCAAATTTTTTTTTTTTCGGTATTCCCTAATTTTCAAGAATAAATATTTTGATATATTTAGCATTTCGATCTTTGAATTGAAACTCTACGTCACAATGTGAAGCTGTTAATATTTTACAATCTGAATAGTATTTCCCGTGAGTCAGAAATGTATCTCGTCGAGCAAAGACTTGCTGAGTGAGTTTATAAAAATTTGTACACATAAAAAGATTTTTTTTATTTAAATCCGATTATTAATATTTGTTGTTATTATTCAACAAAAATAATTTATATTTTGAAGTCACACTCTTCAAATGTTTAGATAGATAACTGAAAATATATATTATCTATATATATTATCTATATATATTTTACTTTTCTTTATGCATATTAGGAATGTGGAAGTTATCTAGTAATTATCACATAAAAGTTTAGATTTATTAAACAATAAAAGTTTAATTATACATAAATTAATTTATGTTTCATGCCTTATTAAATTTAATAAAAACATATAAAGTTTAAATGTTTATAAGAATACAGACTTGTTTTCAAAAACAATTCAAAAATTACCGAAAATAAACAAAATTAATTGAATCAATAAACATAATATTTACAAAAATGAAAAACAATTGAGATATTTGTGAGATACGAATTAAAATGAAACTGGTTTCATTGTTGTGAATATGAAATTAATTAATTTA